TTATAATATTCATATTATATTTCACAAAGTTACTGCTTATCAAGATGACAATTACAACAATCTTGCTAACCAACTTGTACACAACCACTATAATTTACCATATCTTATATTTACTGTATGCCTTATAATATCTATAATCTATTTTATACTCTAACTTTTGTGAGCTTTCCTTTAGAGTTATCTACTCACCGTAGTATCTGTACAATATGCCATGCTCATATCTATGCATCATAGATAACACAAAATCATTTTCAAAAATGGAACAAAATTTTTAACTAAATTAATTGGCAAGCCACTTGGTTATATATCAACAACAATCAAAAATTTTCTAACTTCTTGTACAGTTTTCAATCTTCTGCTCTTAAGTCTTTTAGGATTAAAATCTTACTAAATGAACTCCCTGCTCTATATATTTTACACAAATGATATCATTCATATTCATCTACTTGCCATCAATGCTATCATATCAGCTCTTATTTTCACTGGATAACCTGTCTATCTGACCAACTACTATTTAATTTAATAAATGATTCATTATAACATACTCTCAACACAACTACACTTGACACTACTGATGATATTATAACAAATCTGTATCATGAGATTATACAACTATACTACATGACTATATACAATGTATCAAATACACCTTCAGTCTTCTCAACACTATCTGGTCTAGTGCTAAATAAAATTATCACTTCAGTTTTAAACTTATCAACTCAAAAAATAGCTGCAACACTTGTTATCAAATTTTTACTTCATCTTAATCAACAAGTTTATCATAAAATCTAGATTTCCTATTGTATTTCTAGATCAACAGCCCATTCTTCTACTGATAACCTACCCTCTAATTCTACTTCACACATATCCCAACCTTTTCCTTTTACTTCTATTAGCTCCAAGATAAATTCTTGGTATATATATTAGATCAAATACCAAACTAATCTTTTTTATATTATTACTAATACCCAAATCTAGGTGAGTCTTGGCCACTCCAGTTGGTTTAGACCACAGATAAACTAGTCGGAGTCTCTATTCTTCTTATAATATTTTAAAAGTAGATTAGTGCTTTATATAATAATCTCAATTAAATATTCAATAAAGATAGAGGCATGGCCTTATTATTAATATTTAAAAAAAAAAAAATTCTTTATAATAAGTTTTATACTATTGCTCTAATTTACTAGCCAAATTTTTTTGTAGGTTCTCTTGAATATGAAAAATGCATAAGAAGTGATATATATTAGGTATCTTTGAAGATACTGTATTTATTAGAGCAGAATCTGCATCTGAAAATAAACTGACTGGTGAAATGTTATTTGTTGCTTTAAGAATATAGTCAAGAAACTATTCATAACTTTCAATAGTTTCGTCTTTCAATAGATATTGAGCCACAAGCCAACTTTGAATATTATTATCAATTACAACTAACAAAGTCAAGTACATATCAAACTAATTAGTTCGATATATGTTATCTATTTGTATAACATCATTATATTGTATAAGACATTGATACTGAACAGGAGACATTCAAAATAGTTACACAAAACAATTGTCAAATGGATCAATTTTTGTATAAATTATCTACCCGGGCTCTTAATCTTTTAAAGCAAGTAATTTATCAACCATGTTTTGTGCGTCTTTATGTTGGTTAGTAAGTAGTGCTTTAAACTTTTGGATTGCATTATAAAGATCCTTGTGGTGAATATATTGATCTGGAAAATCTGCAGCCAATAATGGATAAATTTGCTTTGCTTCTATTCTCCCTTTTGTAATATAAAATTTGATTTTATCCATTATTTCTTGTGATAACTAGTAATACTTTGGAGCATATAAATGTATATTAGATATCATATTATGATTATTAGGTCTCTTAATACTTGCAACCCTTATTTCTGATGATGATTTTGGATTTGAAAGATTTATTCTCCATAGGCATATAATTTTTCTGGATGATTGCTGTCATTGTTGAGTTATATCAATAACTTGGTTAGAGGTATTCTTGCCAGAAAAACTACACTCAAATGTTTGACGTTTAATGATTCCATCATCATCAGCTTCAAGACATTGTTTGCATAAGAAAATCCTTCTGATTTTGCATATTGGTTAAGCTTTGCTTCTGCCTCTTCCCATAATAAAAAAGTATCACCAACTTTAACGAATTTTGGTTTCAGTTCCTACAGATAAACCATAATTTTCACCATTCACTTGCTGTTCTTCTTCTAAAAACCTTGCTATAATTATGCTGTTTTGATCATTTTCATCTGTAGAAACAGATAAGCCATAATTTTTAGCATTTACTTGCTGTATCATAATTATGCTGTTTTGACTATCTTTATCTATAGAACCAGATAAATCATAATTTTCACTATTCACTTGCTGTTCTTCTTCTAAAAACTTGCCATAATTATGCTGTTTTGATCATTTTTATTCATAGAATCAGATAAACTATAATTTTCATCATTTACTTGCTATTTTTTTCCAAGAAACTTGCTATAATTATACTGTATTGACCATCTTCATTATTATTTACACAGTAGTGCTCAACATCCAAAATACTAAGTATTGACAGTTTTGATTTAAAGTAAAATAAGATTTTGCTGGAGTACTCTTTTAAAAAAAAAAATCCTGAAAGATATGAAATTATTTTAAACCTAACTAAAATCAACAAACAAACATATGATTCATCTTACAAAAATCTATTTACCTATATTATTTTGAACATCTTTAATAGAAAATATTAAGAAAAAAATATTAATATAAACTTTAACCAAAAAATAAATCCTGAAGTATAATGTTTACTACCCATATTGTTTTGAGCGTTAAAACCTAAAAAAAAAAACTTGAGAAAGAAAAAAAACAAAAAACGAACCTAATATCTAGAGAATAAAATATATTAACTTGTGAATTGATGTTGCGTCACTTTGAATCATTTAAAGGTCTGTTTTCTTGCTTTGTTATGCGAGGTTTTCTCTTATGTGTTTAACTTTACTTCTTTAATTTACTAATAATAACACTATTTGCAAGCATTGTTTGGATGAAAAACCAATAGCTTGTATTTGGCTAAACAGTTCTGTGAGCTTGTTGCAAGACAAGTTAATAACTAGTATTTGTTTATATAAAATTAGAAGTTCAATCACGAATCTGATCAAACCTACTTATTTATTTGTTTATTTATTATTATATGATCACTTAAATTACGATTTAATTAATTACTATTGTACTGTGCCATATAATACAGTGATCGTCACCACTAGTTGTTTTAATTGACGATTCTCCAGTCAACTGAAGAATGATCATAGTGAAACATGACACGGTTCTATATATAAATTACTATA